CCCCCAGGCCACCCTGCAGTTCTGCATTGTGAAGCCCATCATGGCCTTGATAACCATTGTCCTCCAGGCATTTGGCAAATACCATGATGGAGACTTCAAGTAAGTGGGGGGATTGTGAGGGGCCCTGACAGGCATGGGTCCCAGGAGGACAGTCCTTGACTCTAAGGAGGTCCCCCAAGGGTGGGGGTGAAACAGATGAGACTCAGAGCTGGCCTCAGCACAGTCTTCATGCTAAGGACCCAAGAAGGGTGGTAGATTCGGGACTAAGGGAGCCTGGCACTCTACCCAGCAGGCAGGGCAGGACTGGAGAGGAGCCTGCTCAGGGCACACCCACAGGAACACACATGCACATATGCACACACATACCTCACATTTGTACCTTCACATACAAACACATCCATTACCGATAATCACATACTTGCTTGTGTCCACAACACAGAAACCCTTCTGTTGGGCTATGGCTGGTAGATGAGGTTGTAGAGGTAGTTTTCTGAAGGGCAGTAAGGTCCTGCCTGCCAGCAGAAGGGAGCCTGTCCCCAACATACTCAGAAAGCCCCAAAGATCCCACTGCCCTGGGGGGGTCGCTGTTACAGCACTTCCCAGGCCCCCACTGACTACAGCTCTCTGGCCCAGCGTCCACAGTGGCTACCTGTATGTGACCCTGGTCTACAACACCTCAGTCAGCCTGGCCCTCTACGCGCTGTTCCTCTTCTACTTTGCCACCAGGGACCTCCTGCGGCCCTTCGAACCAGTCCTGAAGTTCCTCACCATCAAGGCAGTCATCTTCCTCTCCTTCTGGCAGGGTAGGTGGCCAGGAGCAATTCTGAGGCCAGGCCTCACCCCCAGAATCTAGTTCCCATCACATCTCTGCCTCAGTTCTGTGTGTCCGTAGTTTCCCCAGTGCTCCAGGAACAAAGATGTGGTGGGGTCCATCAACAAGAGGAGTCACAGGGATGGCACCATGAGACCACTCTGTGGCTTCTCCAAACCTGTCTTCCCAAGCCCCCACATAGGCTGCAGGCACTCACTGTCCCCTCTGCAGACCATATAGCTACAGGTGTGTCCCAGGCCCAGGGCTCAACATGTCAGGCTAATGACCTGTGACTATGGAGGTGCCTGGCCCCTGTGAACCTCAGCTCCATCTCCCACAGAAGGAGGCCATGTGGGCAGGATGTCCCAGGCCAGCCTTGGTGGGAACCTTGGCGTGAGCCAGCTAGGGCACAGCCTCCCATCCAGAGCCAGGACCTGAGTAGCAGCTGTCACCCCTAGGACTGCTGCTGGCCATCCTGGAGAGGTGTGGGGTCATCCCTGAGGTCCAGGCCATCGATGGTGCCAGGGTAGGGGCTGGCACACTGGCTGCTGGCTACCAGAACTTCCTCATCTGCATCGAGATGCTCTTTGCCTCCGTAGCCCTGCGCTACGCCTTCACCTGCCAGGTGTATGCTGAGAAGAAGAACTCCCCAGGTAAGCCAGGCCCATCAGCCTGGCTGGGATGGGGCTGGCACATCAAGCTGGGGGTGTACAGGGCTGGACAGGGTAACTTTCCCAGTCATCTGAGGGAGTAAGAGCTGAAGGAGATGGGGCTGTATAGGGACCACAGCCTCAAGGGCCTTCAGTGATGGGGGTGAGAGATGGCATCCTTACTGAAGGCTGTTTGGACCACAATGGCCAAAGGAGGTAATAGCCCCAACCCAGGCCAGCCCATAGTGTCCCCCTTGGAAACTGAACCTCCTTGGGATTCAGGGGGATAAGCTGCAGGGCCAGAGCTGAAGAGGAGGCACCAAACTAGCTCAGTGGTCCTGGGGTTATACTCTGCCAGCCAAGCCAGGATCTGGACAAGCTAGAGCCCAGCTTGTGTGGCCTGGGGTGGACGGGGAGCAGAGCTAAAAGCTGTGTCATGGGTCTGGTCTATGATGGGGGAAGCTGGGGCGCAGGCAACTCTGACCTCAGTCCATATGCTGCCTGCCCCCAGGCCCCCCAGCACCCATGCAGAGCATCTCCAGTGGCCTCAAGGAGACGATCAGCCCCCAGGACATAGTCCAAGATGCCATCCACAACTTCTCCCCTGCCTACCAGCAGTACACACAGCAGGCCACACATGAGGTCCCAGCGCCTGGCCAGGGTAGGCATTCTTCACCCAACCCCCACCCTGACACGGCCTGCGGCCCTGGTGGAGGCCGGAGGAGCCGGAATGTGGAGAAGCGCATGCTGATCCCCTCGGAGGACCTGTAGGGACGTGAGCTGCCCAAGCCTCTGGGATGCACAGAGGCCTCCCACCAACAGTCTCACCAAAGGCCTTGAAGAGCCCTCCTGTCCTGTGTCCAGCCCCGACTTGGGTGCTCAGTGGGTGCCCTGCCCAGGAAAGGCACTTGGGCACCTTAAACAAGCCTGAGAGTGCACTAGGTGATCAGACAGCAGCCACAGGAGGCACTGAGGGAGAGGCGCTAGTGTGGGCCCAGGGAACTTGAGAGTTGACTGCTCCTTGGATGGGACCGGCAGAGATATACAGCTAGGCTGGGCAGCTACAGGGAGGGACACAGGAAGAGCTGGGCAGCCTGGCCTGGGACAGCAGAAGAATCACAGTGCTGAGGGCTGGGACCCTCAGGTGGGCCTGGCAGGGGTCACCTTGGACACATGGCACAGCCATAGGTGTGGCCCACCACACAGAGCCTCAGAGCAGGAGGCAAGGCTGGCTAGTGACCTGCTGTGCCCATGAAACTGCCGTTTTATTTATAAACACCTTGAACTTTCTAATGGTCTTGGCCTGTTTGTGCAGCACCCTAGCAATACAACACAAGAGGCTGCTGGTGGGGGGGGCACTACTCTGGGGTCTTCTTTGTCTGGACAGCTGCCTGTGGTGTGGCTCAGAGCACTGTGAGGCAGAGCACGGACTTTGAGATCAGGAGCTAGGCAATGTGCCAGGGGGAGCAAGAGGACATCACTCTCCCAGCCAAGCCTCATGTGGGTACCCTTCCGCGGGTGGATGACGTCTCAGGGCACAGCCTCCAGTGCCCAGAGAGGCACAGATCCACCTTTTCCCCTCCCTCCCCTTACTCTGTATTCCCAAAGAACCTCAGGCAGGCCCTTCCTTGGAGCAGAAAGGCTATATGGCCTTGACACACTGAGAACAAAGGATGGGATTGGAGTTGCTCCTGGGCCCTGGCATGAGTGGTATCTTCCCATGGGGCATCCCAGGCATAGGGGCAAATCTGGGTCCCACAGCACAGGCATGTAGGGCCTGGGAGCTTGTGGACAGGGGATGGAGAGCCAAGCATCAGGATGCAAGTAGGCACAGCAGACAAAAAGGTCTGGAAAGTACCTCCCAGAATGGCTGCTCCCACCCTCTCCCAACTGCCAGCTTCCATGGGTCGTGTCACCAGGGGGAGGGAGACATGTGTCTCAAGCTTGGGGACTCAGCCAGGTGGAACTGACTACAGTGTTAGCTAGAGTAGGGGCCACTCCCCACGTTCCTCCTTCTGGCCCAGGGACAGGGGACTCAAGGCCAGTAGCTTCTACTGGGCGCCTGGGCTACTGATAAGATAGGGTTCCTCCCTGTGCCCAGCTGGGAAGATCCACGCCCACTACCGCCATCTTATCATGCCCTCTGCATCTGGCAGGCCCAAGAGGCATCTTACAGGCTTGGGAGGGACCATGCTCCCCAGAGACCTGGGATAGGCTCCACACCTGGCTCTATATATGCCTAAGAGGTGTATGAGGTGCCCACAGTCCTGTACAGGAGGACAGCTGCTGAGAGGGGGGAGGCCTCTTGGGAACCTGACACCATCTGAGCTCCAGACAGAACTCTTTGCTAGACCTGACAGCATCCAGGACTTCCATTTAGAAGCAGCCCCATATGCAAAGCCTGAGGTAGGTGAGAAAGTCCCAAGAGGGACAGCAAGTTGTATGGAGTCAGAGAGTACAGAGGCTGCCTCTCTACCTGCCACCAGCTCTTCTGCAGACACCTGTGTAGGCCCTGCTAATATGATGGTAAAGCTGTGTAAACTCTCACCACCTGCTGGAGAAAAACAAAGTGCATCCAGACTGAGCTCTGCCAGCTTCCTGGTGGGCAGTGTGGGTACCTCAGAGAGCAGAGGACCAAGAGCAGTGTCTCAGTCTTATCCTGATAAAAAAGGGCTCTGAGGAGCACTCACCCCCAGGCTATGGGAGGGAGCTACTCTATAGGCAGGAGCTTGTTGTGGCCCCTACATTTCCATCTGTGAGGTGGCCCTGGTGGAAAACCCCAAAGGGCAGATGCCTTGCACATCAGCCTAGGAACTTTCACCATTTCCCTGTCTACTGACAGCCTCTGAGATTTGGGCCTAGGATTCTGAGCACCCCTAGCTCACAAGCAAGGGCGGAGCCACAGAGCCCTAGGGTCAGCCACAGGGAGATCTGCCCTATGAGGACTCACTGCAGCCCCTACTATTCCAGGGGCCATCAGGCTAACCCTGCCTTGCTCCGTTCAGGGCTGAAGGTAGCACCTGCAAGGGGGAGATCCCACTGCAAGCTCAACTATCCTCCAAGCTGCACCCTGCCTGCGTATGAAGCTACTGGGGTGGGGGCTGCTCACCTCAGGCCAGGCCAGAGGGACAGAATCCAGCCAGGTCATCCCACCTGCCCTAGATCTAGTCAGGCCCTGAGCTTGCCACTGTGGGAGGACTTTGCCTCCCACATGCCTTATAGGCTCATCTTCAAGCCCACCCTGCGGGAATGGGGTCTGTGGCTCCCAGTTGTAATGCAGAAGCTGCATCCACGGTCAGAGGCCTCTGGCAGAGCAGGCTGGGAAGCCCAGTAACCCAACAGCAACCTAGCTGGGCCAGAGCAGGGGTAGACAATGCCACCCCCTTGCTACCCTGGCCTTGTATCCTAACTTGACTCCCCTGAAGGGGGTTACAGTGGGGCCAGGTAGCAAGGCTAGGAGCGGGTGTGGACCTGCCCAACACACGCCACAGTCCAGGATGCCAAGTTCTTGGCTCCAAGAGTCAGGTCTGCACCAGAAGGACCTGAACCAGGAGATTCTTTATTGCAAAGGTAGAAAAGCAGTCACAGCAGCAACATGTACAGCAATAAATTAGGTGGTGGCCACGAGACAGGGTCAGGGTGGGCACAGATAAAGGTCCACAGCATTTGATCTTCTCAATAATTTATATTGGGGAAAAAGCACAAAATAAATATTGAAATGAACTGCAAATAGCAGGCGGCCAGGACAAACCAGTGAGCGTGGTGTTCCTGCCGCCCTGGCAGGCAGAGTACTACCTTCTTTGGGAAGTTTGAGGCACCAGACAGAAAACAAACCCACAAAATAAAGAGGTCCTTGTCTTTCTTCTCAAAATAATAATAAAATTCCATATATTAAATTGTGACAATGAAATTTCAAGGGTCTGAAAAGAAAAACAGAAGGTGCTACTTCCTTCCCAGGCCCTGAAACATGGCTCTGGGCAGTGACAGTAGCTCCATCCACCATGGAACCAAGGGCAGGGCACCTCCCACACCCCAAGCCAAGCACCACAGGTCAGCGATGGGCAACAACCCATGTCCAGCGGTCACCTGCCTGCTGTGTCCTACAAGAAGGGGACATGGACCCCAAGACTGGACAAAACTTGTATTGCTATGGCCTGCCCTGAAGGGCTGTGCACACCACCCGCAGGGTCAGGACTTGTCCAGAGCCCAGCATGCCTGGCACCATCTGCAGGCAGGAAGACCAAGAGAGGAAGCAGGGACCCTCTGTCCACAGCAAGCAGCAGAACCCAGGAAGGAGGGCAATTTTTCCCACCCTACCCACCATCCCTGGCAGCTCTGCATTAACAAAGATCTATAGTATCAAACTGGAAAGGAAAAATTGTTATGAAAACTCTGTAAGATAAAACATGTATATATATATATATATTCTTCTCTTTCTTTAAATATTTTCCCATGGTCCTTACTGATATCCAATATGGATTACCTACCATGGCTATGGTATCAACAGCTTTTGTTAGGTTCCCAGTGGGGCCTTTACTCTTTGTGGACCCCACGTGCCCTGGGCTGCAGCCCAGCTGGCCCTGGGCAATCCAGGACCAGGAGGATGATCATGCTTTGACTGCCATGATCATCCTAGACAATTCCATCAACTCCTCACAGTAGATACACAACTAGGCCACAACCCTTGGGGGCTGTCTGTCCTTTGGGGCTGTCAATTGCCCTCCCCCCAACGTGGCCAACACCCTGTAAATGAACTTGGTGGTTTGTTGGGGGTCTATGTAGATGGAGGGCAAGTCATGAAGAAACTGGAAGTCCCTGCACTATGCCTGCTTATCACACATCACACATAGGGCTTCTATTGGCAAGACATAGGGCTGACATCCCACCAGCTCTTAATGGTGGCCCTGCTGAGACCCAAAGGGGTCCTGTGGCAATGCTCAGAAGGAAGCAAGAAAGATTCCAAGAACATCAGCACCTTAAGAGTTTTACAGAGCAAGAGCAGGTGCCTACAGTTAGGCACCACACCCACAGCCTAGCTGGGCTGCACAAGGAGCCTGTCCCAGCCAGTAACCTCTGACCTGTGTGCAGCACTACCCAGGCTCCTCCGTACCGCAGACCCTGGGTCCCCCTCCCTGGCTCCTGCCCTATCCTCCCCACCTACTGCTCTACCTCTTCCTGCAATGGAAACTATGGTGGCCCCTGGCCTGTGCCACAGAATATCCTCCACTGTCACCTCCACACCCACCGATATCCCTGAAATCACAGAACATGTTCTATTGCCGCTTTAATGCCCACCAACCTCCTGACATAGGCAGCCCTTCCCTGCAGGCCACCCAATATTCCCCTTTTCACCCACGCTGAGCATAGCTAGAAAACAGTGGCTTCACAAAGACCAAACCTGTTCCCTGTTGACTAGTGGGAGACTTCTGCCCCCACTTGTAGGTCAAATCCTGCACCTCCATTTGAAACACAGGGACATTCCATAACATCTGCACTACTCTCTGACACATACTTGACAAACCTTTCCCATCCGCCCAACCCAGCTGTTCCTCCAAGGCTGGTGCTATGGCCATGGGTGCTGTGATATCAGACAGGCAGGCAGGCAGGCAGGCAAACACGCAAGCGAAAACACACACACACACACACACACACACACACACCCTCAGGCAGCCCTTCTCAAGTCGGCCTCACAGGGCCCAGAGTGAATACAAGAGCTGAAGCAGGTCACAGTGCATTGCCATGAGGACAACTGGAAGATCAGAGCTGTCAACAGGCCCCTGCCCCTCAGGCTGGCCAGAGCTTGGTGGGGGCTGGCTGGTAGGATGGGACCAACAGGGTGCTCAGAGAGGATGGAAGATGAGCCCCAACACAGAGCCATAGTGGCTTGGCACCCTATGGGGATGCAGCGCCTTGGGATTCCAACAACTCTTACAAATAGACATCTACGGAGAACAGGTGGCGTGAGTGTGCGTGTACGTGTGAGTGTGCATGTGGGCGGTGGGTGGCTCTGGCTCACAAGAGCCTATTCTCCATTCTGGGCCGGCCACCCTCCTGCTGTCCCTGCCCTTGGCCTCAAGGGTTCCACAGCGCACAGATGTTCAGTTTGTGCCAGGAATTCAGGGCAGGCATTGGGGACACGGCCCCAGCAGGCACTAGGATGCAGCCGAGAAGGGCACAGAAGTAGAAGAGATGTCAGCGGACTTGACAATGGTGATGACACTGGTGGTTGCCACCTTGGTCGGTGTGATGGGTCCACGGGCCACAGTGCGGGCAAAGGTCTGCAGGGCCTCATATTTGGCCCGTAGGGCATCAAGCTCCAGGCGCATGCTGCTGTTCTCACGGGCCAGCTTCTCCACCTCCTGCTGCAGCTCTACCCGCTGCCGTTCTAGCTCTTCCTTCTGGGTCACCCGCTTAATGCGGCAGCTGGCTGCGTAGCCACGGTTCTTGAGCGTGCGCCGCCGCTGCTTCAGGCGAGTCACCTCCTCCTTGGTGAGCCCCCTTAGGTGCTGGTTCAGCTCCCGCACTGACATGGATACCAGCTCATCATCGCTGAGCACTGGGGCGTTCTCACCCGCCTCCTTCTTCACCTGTGAGGCCACAGAAAGGGTCAGTACCAGGAGAATTTAGGATCCCTTAGGACTTGCCCCAAAGAGCCCAGAGGCCCAGCGGTGTCTCATCTTCTGCACAGGGAGCAGTGTGACACCACAAGGCTACACTAGGCAGCCCACTGGCCCCACTGCTATCACTGTGGCTCTCTCTGAAAAGGGCAGACAGACAGCTAGCTGGTCCCTGGGCAGGGCCGGTGGTGATGTGACTATGTCCCATTACTATCAGCTCTCAAGCTCCATGAGGACACAACTCCATGAGGTATTCTGGCCATGTATGCTCTTGTGCTGGGCATGAACATAGGCAGGAGTTGAACAAGCCCTTCTCTGCCACCCACTCATCAGGACAAAACAGAGATCTGGCCAGCAGGGTTACTGCAGTTGGAGAGACCAGATGGAGCTGCACGCAGCTCCCTGGGGATCTAAATAAGACATCCAGGCCCAAGGGCAATACTGCTCAGGGAAGCTGAGTAGACCCTGGGATCAGCAGGAGCCAGGCTTTTACAAGGCCACTCAGCTACCCCTGGTGCTAGAGGATGAGCCAGGCAGAAGAAGCCCTGTGAACATAGCCCCTACTGTCCCTCAGCCTAGGCCAGCTCCCTGCACAACAAGAATTTGTCACCTACCTCCCCAGCCAAGGACTTCTTCCTAGTGCCATTCCCATCTGTTCCTGGGGACAGGTCTTCTGCATGCCCCAGAAACAGTCCTGGGAGGGAGGGCATTCTAGAGCCTGTATGGGACAGGGGTCCCTGTCGCAGTTCCACCTGACTTACCTTTAATGCCTTATTTGGTTTGGGATTCGTCGTCATAACCTGGGCACAGTTACCAGGGCAAAGCTGCTTAGAAATTGTACCTGGAGAGACACAGAAGGAGCACACAAAGCTAGCATTAGGCCTCGCACTTGGAAGCAAAGCACTTGGGGAAGCCAGGTCTACCTTACTGCAGCCAGGCAGGCATGGTATCCTAGAGATACCCTCAGGAGCTCTCTGGGGCTTAGGCAAGACCCAGATACCAGCATCAACCCAAGGAAAAGCCAGGAGTCCTCTTGTCCCCAGGCTCAACAGCACACACTAGTCCTTGATTGGAGCCTCCAGTGCTATAGGGTGACCACTAGGCAGTGGCACATGTTGCATCTGGCCTGACTCCCCTTCTGAATTCAGACATCTGTACCATGAGGACAAAGTGCTGTGTCCTAAAATCAGAGACCAACCACAAAGCCCCTTCCAAATAAAGCCATATCTAACCTCAAAGACACACAGTAGGCCGAGAACTGGGTAGCATCCCTGCCTAGCAAGCCTTCCCAATCCAGACTGGCTCCCTGGGGACAGGTGGGTCCTTTCAAGGGGCCCCTGCTATTGCCAAGTCTCACTCCCAAGACAAATAGGGCAGGAACATGCCACCCCTTTTTGTGCCCCACCCTTCTTACAGGTACCCAGGACACCTACCAAGGAAAAGGGCACTGCAGCTGTGACATTACCACTTCAACCTTGTGGCCCTGTGGTGGGCAGAAGCTCTTAGTGGGCAGCAGGTTCAGAGGCTGCAAACGGGGACAACAGGAACTGAAGTCACCTCCTGGGCTCCTCAACTGTCTAGTGAGAGTTGTCCCCCCAGCCTCCTGCCAGCCCCCTAGCCCGCCCTTCTCATTCTCCAGTCTGCATTGTGTCACACATTCTAATCATTCATGAAAAACCCAGTCAAAGCATCTCAGACATGATTCCTCTCTGATAGTTGCCATGGCAACCTTGGGAGGTAGCCAACCCCTGATGGTTGTCATGGAAATAGAGAAGCCAAAAAAGAAAAAAACAAAACAAAACAAAACAAAACAAAAACCCAGCAATCATGACTCCAGGTCAGGCCCCGCATAGAGACACCATGAAGTTATCAGACAGTAAACAAACTCATTCATCCCAGACAACAACAAGACCAGGGGTGGGGATAGGAGTGGAAACCATGGACCCACACTTCCAACATTCCAAACCAGACATGGGAGTTGAGCAGAAGCAGCACTGGAGAAATAGTACTAAGTATCCAAAAGGGAAGAGGAGACAGGATTTGGGCAGCTGAGGATCAGGCCTGACCTCTGCTCTGCCTCTGTTACGACCCATCTCTACCTCCCTGCCCTCTACTACAAGAAGGCTGCCAACGTGAGAGAGGATCTGGGCTCCCAGCTTTGGGCACCCTGCACTCTGGTGACCACCAGCCTGAGGCTGTCCTGAGGGAGCTGCAGATGTCCTTGCTCTTTGACCAGGAAGGACAAAGTATGCATCTTGACAGTTTACACCTGGGCTCAAATAGGAGGAACGGGCAGGTGACGGGCCCCACTGGGAGGTGAGCCCTGATTTTTGTGACAAAACATGACCCCATCTCATAGCTGCCATACAGTGACTTGAGAAGCCACAGGCCCACCATCCTGTGAGGAACTGCAGACACCAGGGGCCTGGGAGCGCCCTGAGAAACTTTCCGGTGCCCAGGGAGGAGGGGCATGCATCTCTTCCAGCCAGCGTCAGTGACATAGCTATGTGGTGAGTCACTGGCTGTTTACAGAGCCTGCTCACATTCCCACACAGGACGCCCCTCCCACCCCTCCCCAGCTCCCTGGGGGCCCAGGGCCTGTGGAAAAGGAAGGTGGGCGGGAAGGGCTCTCTGGTTGGGCCTTTGGAAGACAGGACTGCTGAGCCCAGCCCAGAGCTCAGTAGGGATCCTTCTACTGAGGAGATGCCTCTATGACAAGTGTCTGGACAGAGGTGGCCAGATACACATAGAACAGGGCCTCAGGCTCCAGGGTATGCTACAAGGATTCACTTACTACTTCTAAGAGGTTGGGGCATTAGAGTGGCAGGATAGCCCTGCCCTGTCTGCTGGCTCCAAATCCACCACATCCACCTTGCATGGCTTCTGGCACTAAGACCACTGAGAGAAAAGCATCCCATAGGATCCCTGCTGGGGCCCAGGCAAAAACCACAGCAGGGTCTGAGCACAGGGTGTTTTCTGGATCCTCAGCTGTCTTAAGGATGACACTCAAGGACTGTGTGCATGTGGACACACTGCATTTCTGATGTCCTTTTCTGCTATGGTAGAACTTGAAGATGAGTGAATGAGTCTGCCGTGAGTGACAGATTCCCCAGAGAATCGAGCAATGGAGACAGTGTTTAGAGACATCCCACCCCCAGCTCTGGTGCCTCATTTCCTGCCAGCTCCCAGGGCTAGTTCCTGTGTGCCTTTCCATCATGGTGTCACACAGCCCATTCCTGCTTCTTCAGGCAAGGGACCCGCTCAGCAGGGGAATCCTGGACTCTCTGTGGGACAACCTGACTAGCATCTGCCCATCCAACTCCTCAGCACTGGCCCACATGGAAGGTGAGGTCTGGGTGGGCTGCAGATTAGTCCTGTTCTTCTTGGCACGCTCTTTTCATGAACTGAGTACATCAGGAGCACAGGGCTGGTACTCACCATGCCCACAACACACCACATACATCCACACAGTTCAGAACTAAGGCTGCTATAAAACAACAAAGGCAGGAAGAACTATTGGTGGCCTTTGGAAAGAAGATCAGAGGGGAGGGTTTGTGGCTTTGTGTTTTTTAGTGCTGTTGATCAAACCTAGAGCCTCACACATGCTAGGCAAGTGCTCTACCACTGAGGCTCCCCAGTCTCAAGAAATATTTTGTGTGTGGGAAAAACAGTAAAACAAAATTTAAAAACACTCTGAAGCCAGATATGGTGGGACACATACCTAGCCCTCAGGAGACTGAGGCAAGAAGACTGTTGCAAGTTTGAAGTCTACGGACTATGGAGTAAGACCCTGTCTCAGAAAACCAAATAAACAGTTCTTAAGAAGCTCTGTAAGACATCAACCCTCATGCAGTCTCAAGGTCATAGAAAAACCCACTCTTCTCCAAGCCTTGGGTTGGAGATGGCAGAAACAGGAGGTCCTGCCAGGCAAGAGAGCACTCGAAGCCCTCAGCCACAGGAAGCCTCATGAAGGTCCGCTTCCCTCCCACCCCGGCCCAAGGCAGGCATCCAGCCTTAGCAACTGGCCAGCACAACAAAAAATCTCAACACTTTCTGGTGAGAGCACTGTGAACCTTCTAACATCCACCAGCCAACACTATGCAGACCTGATGCTCCTGAGCATCTCAGAATTTTGAGGAGTTGCAGGAGATGTTAAGTGCTCAAGGACCAGCCTAGGATCTTGGAGCTCAGACTTTTTACTGCATGCATTCCCTGATCTAAGAGGGTCACTGCTCACCACTAAGCCCTTGGGTCTCCAGATAGCCCCTTTCTTATGCAGCACCTTTCAGGTGACTGCTGCCCTAACTAAAAAGGTCAGGTTGCCAACCCAGAGCCAGAAATGTCATTGTGAGGTTCACCTATACAGGTCAGCAGATCTATCAATCTCTTAATGAAGGCCAGCCAGCAACTCAGGAGGTGCTAACTCCATGTATCTCCTGAGGAATGGAGATAGTGAGCCCCTCTATTCCAGGATAGATCACAGTGGAAGGCCTAAGTCTCACAAAAAGCAGAGCAGCAAGGGCCAGGGGTATAGCTCAGCAGCATAAGCACCTGCCTGGCAAGTGCAAGGTCCCAAGTTCAATACCTGGTACGAGAAAAAAAAAGGAGAGCAGCACATTACAAAGGACAGAATACTGAGCGTGTGCACCTTTGAGAGCAGGACAGGTAACACAGCTCAATAGCCCCAAAACAGCCCTTTCATGAAGCAGGAGAGGCAGAGTGAGGATCACTTTCTACTTTTCAATTTCCCATGTGGCTACTCCACTCAGGAGCTGGGAGCCTGTGCAGAAGCACCCAAAGCACTGCACCTTTCCCAGGGGCCACAAAGCAGATGACACTATGCTGGTGGGTACCTGCCATGTGAACAGGTGTTCTAAATGGAGCCCCTGCTGGCCTCACACTCTGCCCACTGAGAACCAGGAAGGCTCCCTCTGCCTCCCACCCGGGACACAGACTCTCTGGTATGCAGCACAGGTTTGCAGCCCTCCCTCACTGCCCGCCCCTCAACCCATACCAGTCTACAATCTGGCCCCAGCTGGCTGCCCTCCAGCAAGCCACGACTGTCTGCCCAACTTGGAGGACGTCTGGTCACCTTGTATTTGTAGTCTGAGGAAGCTGTGTCATCCCAGCTACATCCAGAGGTGACTCAGGCGGTGGCTACCATGCCAACAGCAGGCTGCATGGCACCCCTCCCCCAGCAGCCTCCACCCTCATACCCCTACCCCAGGGGTCTCCCATCCCTGGCTCACTGAAGGGTCCTAGGCTGTCAGCTCCCCTTCAGGACTCTGTTCTGTTTTTATATCCTGGGACTCCAGCCAGCTCCCACCCTCTACCTCTAGCTGGACATGTCCCCTGGAAAAACTAAGGCCAGGCCTGCCTGTCCCCTCACCACTTCTTCCTCTGTGTCTCCAGCTTGAGTGGTGACAGCCACCTCTCATGATGTTGCTCAGGTGCAAGTGGCCCCCCAGCCCTGCATCTCTCTTCCTAAGCACCATGGCCCACATTTGAAGACCTTGTCCCCCCAGTTCTCCTGTCCAGCCAGTCATCCAGCCCTCACTCAGACCCTAGCTTCTGCCAGTTTTGGTTTAACAGGACCCCAACTTTGATCTTGGTGCCGTAGCACATGTAGTTCCCACTGGCAGGGAGAGGTAGTCCCAGGTCCCTCCTGAGCTCTACACTCCCAGCCCTGTCACTATTTCAGTTCTTCTCCAGTGGCCCCTTCTGCACTGGGCACATGGTTCCCACCCTCCTCCAACCCAGGATTCTTCCAGCATGCCCTTCTAGCTGCCCTCTTTGGGGTAGCCCACTGCCTTGAACCAAGTCTAGTTCTAGAACTTTCTGTTGACAAGTTAGGCTCCTCACTGCACAGGTAAGCTCCAAGCCAGCAAGGAACATGCTATCTGCCCCATTCCACATGGGTTTCAAGACACCTGAAAAGGTCTGGGCTCAGGCAAAACAAGGAATCCCAGGAGATGACAGCTACACAACCAAGCTACACACAGCTACAGCACTCAACCAGACTCAATCCCAGCTCTGACCCAACCTGGGCCAGGTGAGTGAATTTTGCGATCACTCAGCTTCTGCCTGTGTCTACCAGCTCTGAAATTCTACAGTTTTCAGATAATGCTTTCTGTTTCCTGAAACTGTAAGGAAGAGGAAACATGACAAGTCTGTGACTTATAAAAAGCAAAAGTAAATACCAGAGCAACATATCTTCCATTAGCAGAGAACTGGGAGGCTGGAGAGGGGAGTGTGAGTCACTGTTTACTGCTCTCAGGAGCAGCCACACAGAGAACTCTCCCAGCTGGCTGCATTTCCATTTCCCGTGTGGACTGGACCTGAAATCCAGAAAGTCCACTTCAGAAACCTTTAGACTCAGAAACAGCCAGAGCAGAAAAAAGCACAACTTCTAGACAGCAAGAGGCTTTGCCCAAGAGTGTAAACAAACAAACCCTCCAGCCATCATAGGGCCCCAAGTGAAAACCCAAGTTGTAGACAAACAGTCCAAAAAAGTCTTACCCCATGGCAGTGTGAGTGTGGAGAAAGACTAGAATTCAGAAGGCCCCAACCTTTGTACTGGTTCACCAGTACCGTCTGCCCAACTCTCATTTTTAGCAACCACCTGGAAAGTACGCAACACTGAACTTGGAACCAGTCCCTCCAACTCTGGCTTGGTTCAAGTACAAAAGGCAAATGTGCTCCAGAGAAACCTGGTTTACTTTAATAAATGTTTTATTTGGAATAACAAAGTCTAGTTTCAAGTTATAACAGCAGCCCCTCTCCAAGGTCAAACTTACACTTTCCTAATGGACTACCTACAGAGGAAAGGTCTCATAAACAGAGCTGGCTGCTCACAGTGCAATAGGCATAGATACATCCCAAAGCCTACACAGCCCAGCCTCACCAACCCTGATCCCAATACCTTCTTGAAATGTCTCTGGCCTGCAAATATCCAGGGACATCGCAGCACTTGCCCGTTGTACCAACTAGGATGCCAAAGTCATAGCAAGACCCTATCAGTGTCCGTTGAGGGGTCCTAGACACCATCCTGGCCAATGAAGGGGAAGGGAGGGACTTTACTACAGATTTCTATCATGCTGCCACTGTGGAGAGGTTTGGGTCTGGGTACTTCCTGAGGCCCAGCACCTGGAAGGAGAAGGATGGATCACTGCTGATCAACAGGTGTATGAATTCTTGGGAGCATCCATTCTGTTTTCAGTACAGGACCTTTGTGGAAAGCAAGTGAGGACATACACATTCCCAGGAGATCAGAAACAACACGGGGCTGCCAGCCTCCCCAACCGGGAAGGCTCCAGGAATAGGCAGATTGTATGTCATGGAACTGACTCCACTGAGCAAGGCGTGAGAGTGAGATTGCCAGGGTCATAGCCAGACTCGCTCTTCCCTAAGGCAGACAAGCAGGCTGCGGAGACCACTAGGCTTCCTGGGGTATGTGGTTTCCTAGATTTGCTTCTGACTTCTCCTGGGCTCACAGGCTTCAAGTGTGCAGCAGCACATAGACTAACATACTTGTTGGCTAATACGATGGTGGCCTGGGAGAACTAGCCTTTATAGTTGGTAGAGGCCTTAGTCCCTGACCACACCTGAGGAAAATGACGGAAGTGACATACTCGCCAAGACTGTCACCTGCCGCCCTCCCCATTTACCGCTACCCTTCCTTCCGCTACCCTTCCTTCCGGCACCCCCAGAGGTCAGCTGACTAGAGAGTGGCGCCGGCCACCATGGCCTCCGGGAGGGCCCTGTCACCCCTGCTCCCCCAGGGCATGCCTGCTTGGGGGGTCGGAAGCCTATGCTCTCCGCGGGGGGGAAAGCAGCCGCGAAACTGACGCCCCACTCCGCACGTGCTCACTACACGCTCAGGTGCGCCCCCAGGTGCGCGGAGGCCTCTGAGAGGTCGGCGTCAGGGTGTGGATCCGGCCGACTGGCCTGGGCGCCCACGTCGCGCGGGGCCCTGCGGCACGTGCACTGGGGCCCAGCCATGTCCGTGCGGAACGGCGGCCGTCGGGGCAGGTGCGCACCCGGCGGTCCTCACTTCGGAGCCACCAGGCAGTCCCGGGCCGTGACTCAGCGGCCGGCCGCCCTCCCCGCTCGCCCGCCAAGCCCCCGCGGGGCACTTCCCTGCCTGTCCGCCGCCCTCTTTTCCTCACCTGGCGTCGCGGATCAGGGCACGGCGCCTCCTCGCGGGCACGCGCACCCCTCGCGCTCCTCCTTTCGCGCTCCCAGCGGACGGCGCCTCAGTCCGCGCTAGCGTTCGGACTTCGTGAAGAACAACAATTCTCGCCGCCCGGTGTCCGCCGCCTGCCGCCCGCCGCCGGCTCCCAGACTGACACCGCTTCCGGGATCGCGCGTCAGCGCGGGCCACGCCCACCTCGTTAGCCCCGCCCCCGAACTCCACTCAGCCTCCCCCAACTGCTCTCCGCCCTCCACGCTGGCCCCGCCCCTCGTGGGCCTCCGCCCCTCCCTTCCTCCGCTTCCTTCCTCCCCTTCAACCCGGACCTGACGCCCACTTTTGCCTAGCAGGTGCAGGAGCCTGCGGAGTCCACGCGGTGGCCCTGTCTTTTGTCTTTCTTGAAACGCACCTGGGTCTTGCGTCCTTCCTAGGCTGGGAGGATGACAGGGAGAGGGGAGGCGGGCGCGAGGGCTCCCGGGACTTTCACAGGCTGCAGGCACAGTCTGGGTACCAGGCCTTACCGTGTCTTCGACACCGTCAACCACCGACATTTTGGGGTGTCCCACACTCATACAGCGTGGAACCAAGCTCGTTGGTGTTTCTCCACGTCACAGGGCAAGGGGGAAGTGGGGCCAGATTCTGGGGACCCATGCAGGTCACACCACCCACTCTGTGGGTCTTCACAGAAGGGGAGCCTGGCCATAAGCCAGAGTGAGGAAGAACTATTTCTCTTCTGCTCGGATGATGAGAGTGTAAAGATTTGAAAACAGGTGGCTATCTACCAACAGCCTTTGTCCAAGATTGGGGATATTGCCCCCAGGGGAAGCCCCAGTAAAGGCAGGCCTGAGATGTGGTGCAGATCCTGAGAGTAGCCCCCCGTTGGTGGCAGCTGTTGAGGGGATTCCTCTTGCTGCCGCAGATGAGAGGCAGAACTGGGGGTGACCCTGTGAGTCCTAGAGTCAGGAAGACTGACCAAGTTTCTGGGGCCCTCTTTCAGGAGGAGGAGCTGCCTAATGAAGCCAGGTTGGTCAGACTGCTAAGGAGGAGGAGGGTGCAACCCCTTGGGAGTAACAAGGACAAAAGACACACATATACCACACACTTCTTTGGGGAGTCTATTTTCTCCAGTGTGGGGAGGCACAACCTGGCAACATGGGGCGCAGGTACAGCCTATAGGCCTCATGGTGGCTCTCTATGTGGACCCCTTCCTGTGGCCTTCCTTGCTAGCTCCCAATGCTCAACGGCGAGCTGGCCTTTCCGTCGTATTTCCGGGGCAGGTGGGGGTCCGTTTGGGACATAAAAGATGTTTCCCTTTGTCCTTGCCAGTAGGCTCTTCCCAGCTCCTCCTGTACAGTACCAGGATTGTCCTGTGGTTAGCTTCTTTGTAGGATCTCTTCCAGTGGGTAGGGATCCTTTGGCTTTGGAAATCCCATGTCATTTCTCTAATGCTGTCTCTCTCTTTTTTTTTTTTTTTTAGGCGGAACCAGGGATTGAACTCAGGCCCTTGGCACTTGCCAGGGAAGTGCTTATTCCACTGAGCCATCTCCCCAGCCCCTCTAATGCTGTCTTGGGTTTTTCATATTAAGTGTTTATCCCTGAAGCATTATCTTCTTATTAGCTCCCTGAAGTCCAGAGGCAGAAGTAGGCAACTCAAAGCCGGGTGTGGTGGTACACCTGTGTGATTCCCAGCACTCTGGGAGGTTGAGGCACGAGGATTGAAAGCTTGAGCCTAGTCTGGGTAACTTACTGACTTAGTGAGACACTGTCTCAGAAAGTTGGAGGCCACAGGTCACATGTAGTCATAACCTTTTCTGCAGGATGGGTTGTCTTAACTTCTTTGAATCAGGTTTCTAGACTTTATAATGGACTTTATATAGGACCATGAATTTGGATTTTTAAACAAGTAATACTGGAAGAGCTTGATGACTATTCATGAAAAGATAAAATTGGCTCAGGCATGGTGGCCCACGTCTATAATCCCAGTAATCAGGAGGCTGAGCCATGAGGATTGCTTCAAGTTTTGAAGCTAGCACATATATATGGACTACATAAACTTTTTCTATTTATTTATTTAGACTGGGTCTTGCTATGTAGTACAGGTTGGCCTTGAGATCACTTAAGTAGCCCTGGCTGCCTTGAACTCACGGTGATTCTCCTGCCTCAGCCTCCTGAGTGCTGGGATTACAGGCCTATGCAATCACACCAGGATCTGGGCTACATAGTGAGTTCAAGGCCAGCAAAATAAAGAAAGAAAGTTGGGTCCACAGTTTGTCCATACTATATGCCAGTAATACTTTTTTCAGTCCCAGGAATTAAGCCCAGGAGCATTCTACCACTGAACTTTTTTTTTTTTTCCTCATTTTTTAACAGGGTCTCCCTATGTAGCCCAGGCTGGCCTCAAACTTTCCATGATCTTCCTGCCTCAGCCTCCTCCTGAGTTCTGGGATTACCACCACAGACCACTATACCCAACTTATTTTTTAAAGCTTGGGACAAGACCTATCACTTAGTAGACCCAGAAGAACTCAAACTTTCTGTCATCATGCCACAGCCTCCCAGACTGCTGACATTACAGGGATATGTGTTATATACATTTTATCTTAATAAGATACATATATTAAATCAGATGGATGTGCTAGCTTCAAAACTTGAAGCAATCCTCATGGCTCAGCCTCCTGATTGCTGGGATTACAGACGTGGGCCACAATGCCTGAGCCATTTAGCCTATGATCCCCACCCCCTATTCCCCAACCCCCCCAATCCCCCACTCCCACTCAGAAGGCTGAGGAAGAAGGACCACTTGTTTGAGTGCCTGGCTGTCCTGGATGCATGTTCCTTTTATTATGGCTTTATGACCAGGTGGTATAGGTTACACCCTGATAAACTGTCTCTCTTTGCCCTGGGAAGGATCATGTGACAAAACCTGGTCCTGGCATAGCAGGATCTGACCCTTCACCTGAGTTATACAGGGCTGGACCTGGAGGAGATTAATCCAAGTGTTCTAGGAGGCTGAGCACCTGGGAGGGGTGAGGGGCAGGGTCTCCCTGCCCCCTCTCCCAGAGGCTTCAAGGTAGGGAGGGAAGCAGGACTCAGCAGGGGCTGAGGTGGAGAGAGAGGGATGCTGAGGCACTCACATCAGTCAACCTATGGGAGCAGATGAGCAGAAGTGAATGAGCCCTTGCTTTGAGGTTCTACCACTCAGGATCCCCATGAGCACTCACCAGGAACTGCGCCTCAGAAAAGAGGACTGGAGCTTAGATAGGCCAGACCCCAGAAATCTCGTAGGCCCCAAGGGAGTCAATAGAGCTTGGTCCTCAGAGCTGCTGGAGACCCAGTTGTGGCCCGTGCTTGGAAAGTGGCAGCACCCAGGTGTCCTCCAATGACGTAGGAGCAAGGCTCAAGCTTCAGTGCCCAGCTGCAGAGCACAGCGAAGCCCTGCCCACTATGGGTGTGTGGGCCCTGCTCACCTGGGGTGGGGCAGAGGCTGGGGCAAGTACAAGGCCAGTACAGTGCTTTAGGGAAGGTTCCAGAAGCCCAGGTCCCCCCCACCAAGAATGTAAGTGTGCAGCCTGGTCCCAACAGGTCCTGCACCCACAGCAGGGCCCTGGCTGGGTGCCCCCTCTCCCTTGCACTTGCTGACTTCCAAGTGAGGTAGTCAGGTTTAGGGAGGAGCAGCCTTGAAACCGCTTTTAAGAGCCAGGCATGGGCCTGTAATCCTAGCACTGTGGCTGTGAGAGACTGAGGCAAGAGGGTGGAAAGTTAAAGCCCAGCCTGGGCAATTTTATTTATTTATTTATTTATTTATTTATTTACTTTGGCAGAACCGGGGATTGAACTCAGGTCCTTGTGCTTGCCAGGGAAGTGCTTATCCCACTAAGCCATCTCCCCGACAACCTGGGCAATTTAGCAAGAACATGTCTCAACAAAATAAAAAGGGCTGGTGATGATTAGCTCAGTGCCAAGACCCTGGGTTCAATCCCCATTACCACCACTGCTGGGGAAAAAAAAAAAAAGATGCAACACTTGTAGATAGTCCTGCATTTGAAAATGACCTTGCTTGCAAACCTGTACCTAGGCCTTGGGTCCTCAGAACCCTGGTAAGGGGAAACCACAGAGCTGTCTAGCTGTATTCCTTGGAGGAAACCTCAGGCAGGCAGATGCAGAGGACTGAGAAGGTGGGAGGGTAGGGCTTGGACACGTCCAAGTCCAGAGGGCTGAGAACCAGAGGCTGTGATGATCCAGAGTAGAAGTTGGGTGGGTTTTGTTTGTTTGTTTTTTTGTTTTTGGCAGAGCTGGGGATTGAACTCAGGCCCTTGTGCTTGCCAGGCAAGTGTTTATTCAACTGAGCTATCTCCCCGGTCCCAGAAGAAGTTGATGTTCAGCTTGAGAGTGTTAGTCTTCCTTCCCGTTCCTTCCCATTTTTCTGAGCTTTTTCAGGATTGAGTGGCACCATCCACTCTGGGAGGGCGAATCATCTTGTCCAGTCCACAAATTCAAATGCTTATCTCCTCCAAAAGCACCACACACACAGAAGTGATGCTCTAACCCCAATCTGAGATCCTTAGCCCAGTGACGTTGACACAAAACCAACCATCACAGCAACCGATTGCCGATTCTGAGGCTGAGTGGGATTCAGATTATTTCTAGTGCTGTATAACCATCCAAGGTCAGCAGACCTCAGCAGTTAAGGACTTGCCTCTACCCCTGTTTATGTTTTGTTTTGAGACAAAGTCTCAAGAAGTCGCTCAGACTGGCCTCAAACTTATGGCAATCCTGCCTCAGCCTCCTAAGGAGCTGGGGTTCTAGGCATGTACACTGTTCCAGGCTTTTTGTTTCTCCTTCTCCTTCGTCTTCTTCTTC